TAATGGGTACTTTTGAGGTCTTCCAGGCCACCTGTCCTGGACCCTTGAGTACCAAAGCTCTAGAGACTGGACAGGTGGGGCCAGGAGCTCGCAGTTCCAAGCCCCTAGAACCAGGGCCCTGCTGCTCCTGGCTTTAGAAGCCCTATGCCTCTCAGTGCTCAGGTTGGAGACTTATTGCTGAGATTTAACCATCAGTGATCCTGGTACCGGGCAGCTATTATAATCCCTTCCAGCAGCAGGAGGTGGCAGCATCACAGCTTAGTCACAGCAGCGTTAGTGTCACAGCTTCCAAACACACCTTGGGTGCTAGAACCCTCAGCTCTATAGCAGCCAGGGCCCCTGAGTCTTGGCAGATCTTTGGCGCTCTCTCAACCACTGTGGTCCACAGCTTTTAGTCTCTGGCTGCTCAGTCTTCCATCCTTGGGCTCTCTGCCTTCTCTACTTCTGTTCCCTCTCATTGTCTCCTTGCCTCTGCTTCCTGGCATTGCTTTCCCACTGGGACTCTCAGCTGGCCTTCTGTGTCTACCACTGAGTCATTTTCATCATCACCATCATCGTAGTAATCACCAACAGACCTTCCTAATGCTGCGACCCTTTAATACAGTTCCTCATGTTGTGGTGACCACGTCCATTAAATATCATTGCTACTTCATGTCTGTAATTTTGCTACTGCTATGAATCGTAATATAAATATCTGGTATGCAGATATCTGATATGCCAACCTTGTGAAAGGGCTGTTCAACCAAAAAGGAATTGCAGGCCACAGGTTGAGAGCTGCTGATCCAGAGTAAGGTGTGTAATAGCCACAGCCAGGACAGTGCCTTCTGAAGCCAGAGTTGTGCTTCAGCAGCAAGCATCCATGGTTGCTGCGTAGCTTCCTCAAAGTATTTGTGGGGTGCTCAAACCAACTGGATAATCTTGAGGGCCATCTGGCTGGCTATTAGCTGACAGTCCTATGCTCAGTACATCCAGACCTCAGGATGGGTTTGGGAGCAGTTGACTGGGCTGTCAAATCACCCCAGATCCTAACATTTTACTTTACTTAAAGGAAAACTAAACATTAAAAGATCTACTGGCAGCTTTGTTCACATTCGTGGTGATTGAACAGCATGTAGCTACTGTCTCTGAGCTCTTGCAGCCTATCTTACCCACTTATTAAGATGAAAATAGGTGAAGGTCTGAGGAAAGGGCAGAATATACTGGCTTAGAAGGCGGTAGTGGGCTAACAGTGCCATCTAATTTCTTGCTCACCCTTGCTGTAAGCTTCCCGAATACCACCTATGCTTTTTCTTCCAGCACACTGTGCCAGCACACTGGCTTTCTGTGGATTAATATCCAAAGGCTTTAAAAGCCCTGGTATAATGTGGACATGTCTTTAATACTATTTTAGCTTCTTTGTCTCCCATATTGGATGGTTTTCATTCTGCTTGGGTGCTTTAAAGTGCTTGGCAGTGAGGCAAAAACAGCTAGAACGTGGAGGGAGGGGGATGAGAAGATTTCAGGAAAGAAACAGTGACGCTGAGCATACACGTGAACACACATGCACTCATACACTCAAGGACACGGCAGTTTCTTTCCCTTGGCTCTTTGAGGCCCCTGCCATATCCCCAGTCTCTGGACTCAACTTGATTTTTATTTGTAATGTATACTACATTTATTTGTAATGTATACTACATTTTGTTTTATGGCGCGTGTTTGTGTGTGTGTGTGTGTGTGTGTGTGTGTGCGCACTCACATGTGTGTACATGTGCATGTATGCATGAGGAGGCCTGGTGCTAACCTCAGGAATGCCATCCTCCTCTCTCATTGGCCTGGAGCTCACTAATGGGGCTGACTGGATAGCTTTCCCTCTGTTTCCTTAGTGCTGGGATTGCACAGGGTCTATTTACTGTGGTAACTGAGGATTTTGAGGACATTGTCCTGACTTTAAGACCTGGGTCCTCACAGTAAAAAGGACAATGGGGTTTGAATCCAGAGCAGCAGAGAGACACCCAGGACACATAGCCACATCAGGGGCTATATGCCCGTGGACACCAGAGGCCACAGACGGAAATGACCCAGAGCAGACAGAGTGATCAATCCTGTCCACATGTTGGTTTCAGCCTCACAATTTCCAACCGGTGAGAGAACACATTTCTGTTGTTGTAAGCTACCCAGGTTGTGATCCCTTGTCTTAGCTGGGACTGACCTTGGGGCACTGAACAGCTGCTGCTAGAGTCTATGGCAAAACAGCTATATTTGGGTCGTTGCATGGACCTGTGCAGCCCAGAGCAGTGGAAAGAGTAAAGATGTAGAAATGCAACCGGATGATCATCAGGTCCCTACAAGTAAATGTGAGCAATTACAAATTGATGGGAAAGTTTATGTGAAGTAGTGGTTCTCAACTTTCCTAAGGCTGTGACCCTTTAATACAGTTCCTTATATTGTGGTGGTAGCCAAACCATAACATTATTTTGTTGCTATTTCATACTGTAATTTTGCCACTGTTAGGAATCATAATGTAAATATCTGACATGCTACTCCAAGGGGGTTGCAACCCACAGGTTGAGAACCAGGGTTGTAAAGTCCTGGCATGGTATAGTAGTTACCTATCACCGTAATAAACAACTGCAACTTTGCTGGCTTTAGCGAACAAGACAAGTGCTTACTTCTTTATTTAGTGTGTGTTTGACATATGTGTGTCATATGTATGTATGTGTGTGTATATGTGTATGGATGCAAGCGAGTGTGTGTGTGTGTGTGTGTGTGTGTGTGTGTGTGTGTGTGCATATGGAGACAAAGGTCAACATCAGGTACCTTCCTCCGTTGTTCTTTACTTTTTATTGTAAGATGCCGACTTAACTGAGTTCACTGATTGGCTAGCCTGTCTGGCCAGTGGACTTCCGGGATTTGCCCCTCCACCATGCTTGGGTTGATATGCCACAGCTTTTTACATGCGTGCTAGGGCTCTGAACCCAGGTCCTCATGCTTGCGTGACATGAATATTTGAACTGAGCTATCTTCCCAGACCCACATGGAGCCTGCAGGCTCCTCAGCCCTCATGCCTTTCTGCCACATGGAGATAACTTCCCACAGAAGAGCTCAAATGTACAACAACCCATGCATCCTGTAACTTGTGTGGTCACCATGGGGCTCATTGACATGTCCTGCGGTCTCACAGCCCCTTGGCTTGGAGTAAAAGGCAGGTGAGTTTCAGGTGTTAAGGTTCCTGCCTACTGGAAGCTTGCACTGGAGTTGGCACACTGGGCAAGGAAGCTTGACCTGTCCTTGGCCAGACTGCCAGATGGTGGTTCTGTTTCCTCCCTGAGGCATGGGGCAAATACTGGGCCTTTTGCTGAGACAGGAAGATGGGAGGCAAGTTTAGGGGTTACTAGATCACTGTTTAGTTCTGTTGTGGTTCAGTGGCCTTAGGACATCTGCTAGTATGTTTTGCAGAAGTTTCCCTGAGTCCAGGTGGAGACTTGGGGTCCATCAGGCCTCAGCATCCCTGAGTGTCTAAGTACCTGGCAAATCTAGTGCCTTATGGTCTGACTTCCTGCATCTGAGCCTCAGTTTCTCCTATTAAAGGATGAAAACTGGGCCGGGGAGATGGCTCAGGCCATGAAGTGCTCTCTGCTCAAGCTGGAGGCTTTGAGTTCTGTCCTCAGAACACACATTCGAAACCAGGGATGGAGGTGCACATCTGGAATTCCAGTGCTGGGGACAGAGAGACAAGATATCTCTGGAACTCACAAGCCAAGCAGTTAAACTGAACTGCTGAGCTCCAGGTTCAGTGAGAAAACCTGTCCTGAAAAGCAACATAGAGGGTGGCAGAGAAAAAGGTATGTGACATCAGCCTCTCCTTGCCCCCACACACACCCATGCTTGCACACAACCTGAACTACGTAGACACTAATACATATTTACACACTAAGCTGGCCTTGTACTATTTCGTCTGAGGACATCAAGGCTTTAACTGTTGGGTTCTAGTGCCACTGTGAATTACTAGTGAGCTCCCCTCCCCCCAATACACACACACACACACACACACACACACACACACACACACACACGGAGCGGCACGTGAATAGGCCACAATGTGACAGTTGGGAATGCCTGGAATAGGAGCAGGCCACGTTATGTTTTTGGCATTCTTGTGACTTAGGAGTGCATAGTTCCACAGTGGGTCCTCACCACTGTCCTCTCCCGGACTCTACTTCCTGCAGGAGGTCCAACTCCTGCCCAACACAGCAGCGGCTTACTGGAAGGAAGTTGACACTTCTAGCAGAGGGGGGATCTGTGGCGGTTTGAAAGAAAATGGTCCCCAAAGGGAGTGGCACTATTAGAGGTGTGACTTTGTTGGAGTGGGTGTGGCCTTGTTGGAGGAATGCTTTGGAGGAGGCAGGCTTTGAGGTCTCATATATGCTCCAGCCACACCCAGTGTCTCAGATCACTTCCTGTTGCCTGCATATCAAGATATAAACCTTTCAGCTCCTTCTCCAGCATCATGTCTGCCTGTAGGCTGCCATGCCCCACTACGATGATAATGGACTGAACCTCTGAAACTGCAAACCACGTCAACAAAATGTTTTTTCTTTGTAAGAGTTGCTGTGATCATGGTGTCTCTTCACAGCAATAGAAAGCCTGTCTGAGTTCTGGGGCCAGCAATGCAATTGCTTATAGCTCTCCCTGGGCCACTGGGCAAGCCCTTCTATGGCTCCTGTTTAGGTATGTTATGGCCTATGTAGGGCTGTGTGGATGCCACCCCTGGGGCCCCTCCTGTGGCCCAGAGCCCCAAGTTTTGCAGGAGTGGGGCTCCTTTGCCCTGCCCCTTTGGAATATAGGCCTTGCCTAGCCTGCTTATCTACTGGGGGCTATGCAGGCAGCTCCCTTCATTGCCCTAATGAGCTGAAGACCCAGGTCACACAGACACAGTAAGAGCAGACCTTGGCCACATTGTTGGGCTGTCTATAAGGGCGGCTGAACCAAAGAGCGAGTCCCCACCCCAGAAAGCCATGGCACACACTTGCTGTATCTTTATTGCACTGTTACCTCACTGCAAACTACTCCACAAAAATGTCCCAAGGTTAGCCTGCTGCCCTGGGGCCACGGGGCCCTGCGGAATGCCTTGACACCAATTGTCCAGAGCTCAGCCAAGGCCGGCAGTGTCCACCACCAACTAGTAAGGCCTGGCTACTGTGCAGCAGCAAACAAGTGGATAGCTGGTCATTTGTATCCAAAACCCATTCTTGGGTATTCATCTGCCCACACACAGGCCATGATGTCCATCCATGCTTCCTCTCCCTAGATAGAGCTCTCCAGCCTCTGAGGGAGGAGGCCCGGGGAAGGAGAGCAGAAAGTGGGTTGCAATTGAGGGCCAGAGTGTGATCACATCACAGAAGGTCCTCAAAGTGGCCCAGAGGTGATCTCTGGTCTGCTTGGTGGCTCTCCATTGACAGGTTGTGAGCCTTTTGTTAAGTACAAAATAGTGGGCAAAGGTCCCTCTGCTACATGTCCAGAGTGCTTTGTCCAGTATCTGGTGGACTCAGAGGCCCACACTTCCCCATCAGAGCCATGAGGAGACCCCACACTCCCTGCCGCAGGTCAGCCTATGGAGATGACCCACCCCATCCGAATTCACTGAATTCACAGGTGGCTCCTCCTCTGTGCTCCTCCTTCCTCATGGGCAGCACGGCTCACTACCTCTCGGTGGAGGCTCTGTGCTCCGTGGCTAGGTCGTCCTCCACCACACTGCTCAACCCGAGCTTCTCCACGCAGTCTCGAATGGCTTGTAGCACTATGCGCAGCCGCCGGTCCAGGGCCTCCAGGTGCAGCTGGTAAAGCACAGGAGCCACTTTGTCATGCTGCAGGGACTCGGCCATCAGCAGGCTCAGTTTGTGCTCCTCCTTGGCCAGCAGCTGCAGCCTCAGGTAGGTGGACCTCCGGATCCTGCAGAGAGAGTAGGGATGTCACCGCCAGGAAGGAATGGCGGGGTGGCATCTGAAGAGAGAGACAAAGAAAGCAGGGGCATGGAGAGAAAGACACACACAGAGAGACTGTGAAGATACGAGACAGACAAGGACAAACAGATATGTAGAGAGACGGAGTTCAGAGACAGGGATGGAGACACAGACAGGTGGTGGGGGACGGGAGGTAACTGAGGTAGAGAGACATGGACAGAGCCAGAGAGGCGAACAGAGGGAGATGGACACAGTGGGTCAAGGAGGCCTGAGACCGCAGATCTTATGGATCTAAGTCATATGGAAATGGGTCATTCTAGGTGACACCTTAATACAGTTCCTCATGTGGTGGTGACCTCCCGACCATACAGTTATTTTTATTGCTACTTCATAACTATAACCTTGCATCTGTTATGAATCATAATGTAAATATCTGATATGTAGGCTATCTGATATGTGACCCCTGTGAAAAAGTAGTTGGACCCCTAAAGGGGTTGTGACCCATTGGTTAAGAACTGCTGTTGTAGACATTGATACGGTCCTGTCCAGAGGGGCAGGTAGCAGGGCAAGTGTCCCCAATCCTGAAGACAGACCCATGACTGGCTAACTGCTCACTTGGGAGTCTGCACCTCCTCAACTGGCCAGTGGCCTTGGCCAGTTGCATTCTGTCTCCTGAGCGACATAAGTAATTTGTTCTGGGAGCCTATGTCCAGTCACCAGTGTATGTGTGTGTGTGCGCGCACGGGGTGAGGGGTAGTTGAGAGACTGTGGAACGTGGACAGTTGAGTCTGGCAGCCATGGTAAGACAGAAGGACCCTTTGTCTGAACTTGCAGAACCCTTATGAGTGGGAGGTGCCCAGGTGAGGCCTGGGGAAGAGGGGCCAGCAGGAGCCACGGGCAGTGAGGTAGGGTGGGCTTGGTCTGTGGATGCCTGTCCACCCATTGTAAATGGGTAGGGGAAGGCTCTGTCCCCTGCATCTCCGGTGGTGATGGCTGCAGCTGGGGCAAGGAGCGATCTGGCCAGGCAGGGGCTCATACCTGCAGCACTGATGAAGAGGCGCTAGAATGGAGAGCTCATCATGTGAGTATTTCCCAAACCTGTGGGAAGAAGGTAGCGTGGTCAGAGCCGTAGCAGCTGGAAAGCCAGGCAGGGCAGAGTCCTACTCCTCAGTACCATGGTGCTGTAGTGCCATGGCAACCTTGTGAGGATCATCGGTGTCAAAGCTGACCCTGAAAATATCCAGCATTGGCAGTATTGATTTTTCTTTTAAATGAGGGGTGGTATACCGCCTTTTAAAGCAGAGGTTAATGGCCTCTCTCAGGCAGAATTGCTGCTTGTTGGCCCTTCTCTCAGCCCTTCTTGTCAAGCCACAGGCTCTCTGGCCTCAGTTTCCCCAGTGTAACAGGAAGGTATGACTAGAAATACTCATATGGTCACTACCATGAATCTGGCACCCTATGGGAGTCTTCCCAGCTGATGCACACCCTGACGTGCCCTAGACCTGGCCTCTCAGGTGACTCCCCCACCCCCCCAGTGACTGCTTCTCAGGCTAGGCTGGTTCCCCCATGGGTAAGGACGGCTTTCCCAGGGTCTCCAGGGTTCAGAAGACCCACCCGTGATGGGAGAGGTCATTCTGTATGTTTCTCATACTGGTTAATAATAAAGCACTGTTGGCCAATAGGAAAGGAAGATAGGAGGGACTAGGAGACAAGGAGGAAATAGGAAGTAGTAAGGAGGAGTCAAGATGGAGAGTCTGGAGAAAGCAGTATGCCGCCAGCTCCCCGGTAAGAGAAATACATAGATCAGCAGAAATGGGTTAATAATTAAGGCAGAGCTAGCTGATAAGAAACAAGTAACTAGGCCAACAGTATTGTATCAAATACAGAGTCTCAGCGCGTTATTTGGGGCTGGCGTGGCGGCAGGACAAGACCTGGCGGCGGCAGGCAGAAAAACCATACTCGTTACACACCCGCGCCCGTTGTCCAAGTGTATGATGAAGGTCTCATTCCCGAACTTCTCAAAGGTCTCGTAGTGATGTCGGTCCATGTTCCCTGCAGGGACAAGCACGCACAACTGCTCAGAGGCCTCTGCCCCCCCTGAGCTGTGGGTCACCAGGTGATGCCCCCAGTCAAAGGTGTTTAGGCGTTCCTGGCAGCCAGCACGCCCTGCAGGACGTACCCATGAGGAAATCAAAGACAGTCATGTCCATGATGTCCAGGATTCGGTGGCCACTGTCGTAGGGTGGTGTCTGCTTCACCTCCTCACAGTAATCGGGGTCCACTTCCCACCTGTGGTGGGTGGAGGGGGGCATAATGAGACCAAGATTTAGGGCCTCTTCTCTGAGTGAAGAGGGAGGTAGAGGCCAGATTCTTGGTGCTTCCTGGATCCGCAGGTTCATATTTTATAAGTGGGGATGGAGTGTTTGCAGAGACACATTTGGGACTAGCTATGAGGCTGAATTTAACAGGAGTAGGGGCCTTGGAAGTGGTGAAGCCATTCTTCTTGTTCTAGCAGGGACCAGGGCTGAAGGCACTGTCAGCTGGTGTCATGTTTTTTATGGGGGTATGTTGTCTTTTTGAGCACCTGGCAGGCAGGTGGGGTGGGGGAGATGGGTTAGGAGGGACCCAAGTGGCAGGCCAGCATCTCTCCCACCTCTTAGATAGGAACTCTGTGGTGGGCAATTGTATCACTTTGACTGGATTTAGAATCACCATGGCAGCACACCTCTGGGTGTGTCTGTGAGGGCGTTTCCAGAGAGCTCTAACTGAAGCAGAGACCCACTCTGAATGTGTGCCACCATTCCCTAGACTGGGGTCCTAGGCCGAATGAAACAGAAATTGAGCTCAGATCCCATGACCTCATGTTCTCATCTCTCTCTGCTTCCTGACTGTGGCCAGCTACCTCAGGCTTCTGCGGCCATGCCTCCCCCATGATGATGGACCGCACCCTCAAACTGTGAGCCAAAAGCCATCTTTGTCAGCATCAAGCAACAAGACACACTGTTGCCGCTCTCACAGTGGAACAGGCGGAGCAGCCTTTGCATTGTCCTTATTGCCCCATTGGACCCTGAGCCACAGGCTACTGACCCCCCCCCCCAAGCCCTGTGTCCTTGGCTGTGCAGTGGGCAGAAGCTGGCCCATTAAGTCCCGGGAGTGCCCAACTCACTCTGCCTTCTTTCGCTTGTGGTAGGAACGACGCCAGGGGTTCCGCCACGTCTTCCTCTTGGCCAGGGACAGGTCAGGCAGGAAGGCCGCCAGGGAGCCTTCGATCTGGTCAGGCCTCCCACACAGGGCATGCTCCGTGGAACAGTAGTAGGAACACTCCCCATAGAAGCAGATGTTATTGGCTGAAGAAAGGTAGATCCAGTCAGTCAGTGGCTACCACCCCTAGACATGCTCACCAGGTACTTCTGTTCTCACAGCCAGGACTTGCCACATGGTGGCCAGGTGGCCACCATCACCCCTGCCCCCATCTCATACTCCAGAACACCCTCAGAGCAGCCACAGTGAGTCAAAGTCAGACCCTGTCAAAGTAAGAGCTCCTTGCTGCTCATACTCCAGTCCCCTCAGATCAACTCAGGCTCCTAAGGGTAGAGAAAATGCCAATCACATACCCAAGGAAACTCTCGTATTTACCTGCAAAGAACACTCATAGCCTAGCCCTGAAAGGAACCATTTGCTCGGGCAAAGATAAGAACAAGTCAGGTTCCAAAGAAATACAAATGGGGTCTAGACAGGCAGAGATCCGTGGAAAAGGCTGCCACAACCATGAGGCCCTGAGTTCCAGTCCTAGCACTCATGTAAAAACCCAGGTATGACAGCGCATGCTCATAATCCCAGCACTGGGGAAGAGAGACAGGAGGACCCTGTGCATCACTGCTGGCCAACCTGGCCTACTTGGTGAGTCCTAGGTAAAACTGAGAGGTCCTGTCTCAAACAAACAAACAAACAACAACAACAAAAAAGAAAACAACAAAACAAACAAAAAAACCCAAAACAGAGAAATACCCTTAGGTTAGAACATAGGAACTCACGATATTACATGTTAAAGGGGAGCCTATGTACTGCCCATACAAAGGGCTACAACATCGGCCACCTAGCAAATGGGAAGATAAGATGGATGAGTCCATACCGCAGTGGGTAGGCTGCTTCACTGAAGTTCCCTGAACCTCATGCGATGGTGTCAGAAGTCGTACACAAGACACTGCCTTTAGAAGAGGGCCCCCAGCTTTGGAGATACTTTTGAACCATAATGCGATTCTCCTGTCATTGAAGGTATTAAGCTTCTACTTCAAAGTGGAGGAAGAAGGGTTAGGTACTTTAGGAAAAATAAAGACAGCTCAAACTTGTCCCTTCTTGTCCCAGTAGTAAAGTTGGTGACTTTAAATATGGTAGAGGTCATCATATTTTGCATATTCAAGGACATACAAAATGGCAGATAGGGGCTGGGAAACAATAACAATAACAACAAAAAATTAAAAGGTTGATGGTGACTGAAGAAGGGCCCCCAAAGTGGACCTCTGGTTTCCACACATATGCATACATATGTATACACACACACACACACACACACACACACACACTTGCAAATAGTCATAAAGCTCATGGGAAGACATTCAGTTATCTCCTTCATGTGGGAAACTCATACCAAACCCACAGTGAGAAACCAGCTCATACCCTCTTGGCTGGTTGTGACCAAAGGGCCATATGGTGACATGTGTCAAGGAGGTAAAAAGCCCTGGGATCCCAGCAGGGTCATCAAATGATGAAGACACTTGGAAGACAGCCTAGGTGCTGTCAGAGGGGTATACGTACGATCGGCTGTCACCCAGCAGCTCCAGCAGGGTACCCAGCACGTGAGGCATGTGGAGACATTTTCATGCTCAAGCTTGTGTGGCTTAGAAAGGAAAGAAGCCACACAGACACCATCAGCCAACCCCAGAGAAAGGAAACAGTTTGCTTTCTTTTTGTGTTTTTGAGACAGGGCTTCGTGTAGCCCAGGCTAGCCTTGAATTCACTATGGAGCAGGTGAACTTGGTCTTGTATGTGTGTGCGTATGCATGTGAGCATATACACATGTGTAGGGAGCATAGGGGATGACCTCTGATGCCATTCTTCAGACATTGTCCACCTTGTTTTGGCCACGGGGTCTCTCTCTTACCTGATACTTGCCAAACTAGGTTGACTAGTCCCATCTGGAAGCTCCAGGTTCAATGAGAGACACTGGTCTTAAAAAATAAGGTGGAGGGACATTGAGGAAGACACCTAATATCAACCTCTGGGATACACACTGTGGTAGTTTGAATGTATTGGCTCCCATAAGCTGATATGGAGGTGTGGCCTTGTTGGAGGAAGTGTAGTCTTGTTGGAGGAGTCGACACTTGCCTTTAATCCAGACCTTGAGGCTGGAGGGCAGATCTTTAATCTGGACCACACCTTCTGTTGGAAGTGTGTCACTGTGGGGGCGGGCTTGGAAGCCTTTTTTCTCAAACTTCACTCAGTGTATCAATCAGTCGACTTCCTGTTGCCTGTTAAGATGGAGCACTCTCAGCTCCAGCACATCTGCTACACGATGCCATGCTCCCCCTCATGATCATAATCGACTGAACCTCTGGAACTGCAAATGAGCTACCCTCCCTCAATTAAATGCTTTCTTTGTAAGAGGTGCCATAGTCATGGTGTCTCTTCACAGCAATAAGCATGGGGCTAAGACACACACACACACACACACACACACAAACATACGAAAAACATAACATAAAAAAACTAGGTGTGCTTGCACACCTAGGCCACACATCCACCCATCAGCGCGGCAGGAGGCTGGGGAACTGCCAGGACCAGGTCTGGAAGGGGCAGGGGTGGGAAGGGGTATGTGTTATTTATGATTCCTGACACACCCATGGGCACACAAGTCCTGGCTGGCCAGCCTCACTGCCTCTCCTTGCCCCTTCCCTTTTGGCCTCATCACTCCTCCCTAGCCAGTGCTGTATAATTACGGTGGAAAGGATCAAAAGGAGGCCGGCCCACTGCAGCTCCATGTGCTGATACAGTTTAGCCAGCTGCCCCCAACTGAGCCACTCCCCAGCCCCTGCCTAGGGCAGAAAAGCAGTGGAGACCAGGTAAAAGCAGTCTCCAGGAGAAAAATTTCTATCCCATTCGCTTGTTGGCCAGAACCATGAAATTGGATGCCTGTGTCAGCCCGCTGGCCCTACCTAAGCTGGGCTCAGAGCCTATCATGTTGAAAGAGGAAAGGAACACTGTGTCTAGCTCCATACAGCCTGGTGGTCTCACAGAGGCACGAATGACTTGCAGAAACAAACAGGGTGGGCACAGATGACCAGTGTATACCAGACTTGTCGATAGAAACAGAGACAGCAAAGAAATGTGTTCCTTAGAGTTGGGGGCTTCAGAGGCCCTGCCTCTCATCTGTGTGGTGCCCTCTCTGAACTCTATTTCCCAGTAGCTACCCTCCAGCCAGGATGGAGCTTTCATAGGTTCGTGCCTAAGCTTACGGAAGGTCCCTCTGAGGCCTGCTCCTTCCACCTGGAAGGGAGGGGCATGCCCCTCTCTTGACTGACCCAGAGCAGAGCTGCTCAGAAGTGTAAGGGTGTCGGCTCTGATCAAAGGCTTTCCAGCTGCACTTAGCTCTCAGAAGCAGCAATGGCAATTTTGGCAGCGGAAGGATCTAGAAGCGCAAGCAAAGCAGAAACAGCGAATCCAAATAGACCTGGCGTTCTAAAAGTAAGATCAAAGCTGCCTCCAAAACCCTGAGCTTCAGAGGTGGAAACCAGACATCTGGAAGGTTCTGGGAAGAAATCTAGCTGACTGGGCAGAGTGTGGTCTGGCAGGAACAGCTAGGTAGAGGTGGCTGTGTTCAGGAGTGGCCAGTGACACCCAGATCTGCAGAATGCTAAGAGTGAACCATCCAGACCAGATGAACCACCTTAGGGGGGCCCTAACAGTCAGGGAAGATTCTCAGGGTTCATTGAGGGGCAGCCAACAACTTGAAACTGACTGGCAAACTTCACCATGAGCTGCAACCTGGGAGCTGTGAGCCAGCTAATGGAGCAGCAGCTGCCATGGGATGGGTGGGGAGACACATGACAAGTGATGCTCACCACCAGCTCAGGTGATCAGCTGAGGTCCCTTGCTGAGGATGGGTGGGAGCTCTACCCCAAAGATGCATCATCTGCTCAGATAAGTATTTAGTTCAGCCTTTTGTTTATTAAAAACAAGCAGAGCCCAGAACAGCTCAGCTGTAAAGTGCTTGCTGAATGAGGACCTGAGTGAGATCCCAGAACCACATAAAAAAATCTAGGCACTGTGAGCCACCATGCCTTTAATTCCAGCACTCGGAAGGCAGAGGCAGGCAGATCTCTGTGAGTTCGAGGCCAGCCTAGTCTACAGATTGAGTTTCAGGATAGTAAGGGCTACACAGAGAAACTCTGCCCCCTCTCCCATCACAAAAAGCTGAACACTGTGTTTCACACCTGCACACCTGTAATGCTGACTTTAGGGAAGATGGACATGGCTGGATCCCTTCAGCTCACCGAGCAGCCAGTCTAGCTGACTCTGTAAGCTCCACATTCAGTGAGGGACCCTTTCTCAAAACATAGGGTAGAGAGAGATCGAAGAAGACACCTGACGTTGACCAACGGGGCTCTGCACGCACCTGCTTGTGTGTGTTCACGTTCGAAACAAAAGCAAAAGCCAAACGAAATCCAGAATCCTTCACTGTTTCAGAATGACCAAGCCCACAGTATATTGACTCGGCAGTGGATGACCTTGATGGCTCCTCTGTCAGAAGCCCTTATTTATGCCTGCTGCTTGGACCCTGCATACCCTCATGAGCTGTCTATCATCTTTCGGACACTGGGCTGCTGGGGACCTAACTTTCTGCATCTGTCTTCTTCTGAAGCTCTGATTCCTCCAATTCACTTTGGGTGATTTCCTCAATTGCATCTACCCAATGGCACTAGCAGGTAAAGAACCAACTGGATGTGGAATGCCCACTGGTGACAAATCATCTTCAGGAAGACTGTTACATATTTTGATATCTGAGGTGACATGATCTCCCATCTTGAGATCCCAGTGCCAAGTCACAGAACCAAAGAGGCCATGTGTGGGCCCCCAAGTGGACCGAAGCAGAGAGGGCACAGTGACCCAGCTGGGACAGAGGGCAGCATGACCTGGCAAGGGGCAGGAGACTGAGGGTCCTGTCCTGGTGGTGGAGGGAATTCACAGATGTCTGTATTTAGAGCACTGAGCTTGATAAACAGCATCTTAAATTCTACACGGTGGTGGGGGGGGTGTAAAGAGGGCCCAGTTACTGGAGAAGCATGAAGACCTGAGCTCAATTCCCCAAACCCACATTAAAAAAAGAAAGCATGCTGGGTGTGTTTGGTATTCACTTGTCCCAGCACTGGGAAATAGAGACCTACTCGGTGAGCTCCAGGCCAAGGAGAGACAGACCCTGCATTCAAAAACAAGGTTAGAGGTTCCTGAGGAATGGTAGCCAAGGTTGGGTTCTGCATACATACATGCAAGCACACATGTGCAAACACCCTCCCATACACACTCATATACGTACAGACAAGCACAGGTATACACAGAACATCATGAGTTGCTCTAAAGTAGGGCCAAGGTGACTGACACCTTCCTCACAGACCCATCCAGGAAAGCAGGAGAAGCTAACAAATGTGCTGTGAACTCCTGATCCCCTGTTCTGGCACCTGGACCCTCCCACCTTGAGATATGGGCACCAGATGTCAGGAGGTAGAATGCAGTCCCTCTATGTCCCCAGCTAGGGACTTCCCAATGGCTGTCCTACTATCACATGCTGTCTGAGAGCTCTGGGGGCTGTGTTCCCTGGGCCCGCAGATGCAGGGGGTGAGGCCCCTGCCATTAGCTTGGATGCTGAGCAGGCAGCTCTGTTCTGAGTGGGTGGTCCACTCTGAGTAACATTATCTAGCCTGTGTGGCCTCAGAAGGGAGTGTTTTCAGCAGTGACTGAGTGACTGGCACTTAGACCCCTGCCTGACCTGCCCAAGATTATCTTTGTTTCCTGTCCTCACTTGAGAGCTCAGGATTGAGGCCTGAGTGGAAATGCAGAGTGCTGGGACTTGAGCAGCTATGGGTCAGCCATTGCTAAACAGTGCCGCCTCCGAGAGCAGGGTGAAAGGCCTGGGGAGATGATTAAGTCAGTAAAGGCCTTGCCACACAAGCATGGGAACCCGATCCATCCCCAGAACCCACATTTAAAAAGTAGTGGGGGACAAGAGGATCCCTGGGGCTCACTGGCCAGCCAGCCTAATGTAATTGGTGAGCCTCAGGTCCCAGTGAGAGACCCTGATTCAAAAACACAAGGTGGACATCACTTGAGGTAGGATATCTATATGAACAAGTACATATAAACACACCTATATGAATGGGTGCACACACACACACACACACACACACACACACACACACACGAGTACATACAAACATGAATGAGTGCATACACCTATATGGAGTGCACACAAACATTAATGAACACACACACACACACACACAAATGAATACATACAAGAGCACACACACATGCCATAAATGAATACATACAAACATGAATGAGTGTACATGCACAAACCTAAATGAGTACAGACACGAATGAGTGCACACACCTATACTGATGAACACACACAAATACAAATGCGAGTGCATATGAATGTGAATGCGCATGCACACGAGCTGGATTAAACTATGCAGCAAAGGACAAGAAGCAGTGAGGTCTCCAGGCACAGTCAGGCTCAGCCCAGGTGCCTGAAAGGTGGGCACGGCTGGGGGGTGTGGTGGTCGGTCCCTGTGGGCAGTAGAAGGAGCTGGAAGGCAAGATGCTAAGATCTGGGGCTACAGAAATGAGTGGCCACTGGAGCTAGTCACTGTGGCTGAGGCAGGCAGAGGTCAAGATGGGAATCTCGGCAGAAAGCCAGAGGTCCCAGGCCGTCTTAAGGGCTAAGCAACTATGAGTGATGTACTTCTCGCATAGCTAACCCCGAGACTCTCCAGCCAGCATTGGCACAGGGGCCAGGCACTAGGGACCAAGGAGAGATGAATGCATGTTTCCACTTCCTTAAGGAATTCTCTCTCTCTCTCTCTCTCTCTCTCTCTCTCTCTCTCTCTCTCTCTGTGTGTGTGTGTGTGTGTGTGTGTAGGCTAGAGAAGGGCATTGGAATTTCTCACTCTATCTGGAAACCCAGTGATCTTCCCATCTCTGTTTCCCACAGCACTGAGGTTACAGGCGTGTGAGGGTCCATGCCCAGCCTTTATGTGGGTGCTGGGGGTGTGCTTATGCAGTAAGCATTCTACCCACGGAGCCATCTCCCCAGCTCCCCTATTCCCACTTATCAATGGAATCTGAGATGGTAGATCATGGGAGTGGGGTTTCAGCAAGGCCTGGGTTCGTGGCCTCAATTCTGACACATCCATGCATGCAGCCAGCAAAAGAACCAGGAGTGCTGATCTGCAAAGGCGACAAGCAAGAGCTCTTAGGCTGGCTTTTGTGTGCCTCCAAGACCGAAGATAAAGCTAATGAAGGCCTTAATTGGACGTATCTGCGGGAACTGCAGGGGTGTGAGGCATGGTGGAGCTCTGGCCTGCATTATCAGGAGAGTGTGGCGCCCAGGGGGCAGCTGCTGCGTACTCCTTGCCCCTCCCCCAGCCTGTCACTTCATTCGGCTTTGCAGGATGTCTGTGGGACCCCTGGCGCCTTCACAATGTACAGTACAGAATATATAGTACAGTACAGGCTGGGGATGTAGCTTAGGTGGTAGGGTGCTTGGCTAGTATGATGAAGCCCCTGTTTCCATCACCAGCATGGTATAAAACAAAACAAAACAAACAAACAAACCAAAAAAAACAGGTGTTGCCTCACACACCTGTCATGCCAGGACTTGAGAGGTAAGGGCAGGAAATTCCAGAATTCACATCATCCTCTGCTACCTAGAGGGTTCTGGGCTAGCCTGGGCCACATGAGATTGCATCTCAAAAACACAGCAGGGCCTGAGGACATGGCTCAGTAGACAAAATGTTTACTGCCAAACATGAGGACTGGAGTTCTGAGCCCTAGAAGCTGGGCTGGTGTGGAAGCCACTTGTAGCATTATCATTCAGGAGACAGAGACGGTAAACTGGCTAGCAGGAATAGTAGGGATTGGTGAGATGGTTCAGACAGAAACCTTGGCTCGGTAAGAGTGGAGATTGACAGCTCGGCTGAGGAATGTATTGAGTTCAGCTTTGACACATATACCACACACACAAACACACACATACATCACATACACAGCATAACATATCACACAATACACTACAAACACCATACACAACACACATGTTGTACATCCCTCACACACACACACACACACACACACACACACACACACACACCACACCACACACACACACACACACACACACCACACTATCCCCCCAAATAAAAAAAACAAACAGTAGCACAGTAGGTGGGAGGGGGCGTTCCAGAGCCCAACAGGCTGTCAGAGAGACCTGAGATAAGCAACTTGTCATAGGCCTGGACCACAGGGAAACCCTGCGTCCTGACTGTGGTTGCCATGTAACCAGCTGCCTCGTGCTCCAGTCACCATGCCTTCCCGCCATGATGGGCTGGACCCTGGAACTGTGAGTCACACAAACCCTTCCTTCCTTAGGGTGCTTGTGTCAGGGCATTTTATCTGAGGGACAAGCAGAGTAATCTACTTCCTAATCTTGTTAGCATGGACCAAGGCCAGCATATGACCTAAGCCACATGAGTCCCCCAACCTACCCTGTCCTCAGCAAGGTTACCTGGAGACACAAAGAAGGTTCTCCACAGCTTCTTATCCCGCGTGACATCCCGGATCTCCTTGGTCATGTTGATCATCCTGCCAGCCACTGGAGGGACTCTGCGGAAGTCCAGGATCCTGGTGACAAAAGGTAGGGAAAGGGTTTTTACTCTCTGGGGCTGATTCTCACTGTCCGCAGAGGCCAGCTGCTCTACCATCACTCTCCAGTCGTCTGCTACACGAGGCTCTCGGGCTCAGCACAGCCCAGAACCATCAGTGCCAGGAAGGTGTGTGCCCGTAGGGACTGAAGCCTCGGTGCCTCATTCATTGACTCTGGCCCTCATTCCAGGGCTAAATTTAAAAGGAAATTAAATTAAATTAAATTACCCACTCTTAATGGGGCTCTTTCTGCACACATTACCGCTTGCTTAATTAAATGGAGATGCCCATTGCTTGCTTTTTTTCCTGCTGACACAGGATGTAGAGATGAGTTGTCCTCGGTGGAGGGGTGGACAGAAGGGTAAGGACAGACTATAATCCTGTGATGAGGGGTCCCAGGACTTAGAGGACAGCTGCAGCCACCTCAAGCTTCATGGTTGTTTTCATGTGTGTGTACACATGTGGGTTCATACATATGGGTGCAGCACAGTAGGTCAACCTTATGTTTTTGAGACAAGGTCACTCAGCAGCCTGGAACTCACTGATTGGGCTAAACTGAGTGGTTACCAAGCCTCAGGGTCCTCTTATCTCTACCTCCCCAGCCCTGGAACTGTAAGTGTGTACCAGTATGCACTCTTTCCATATGGGTTCTGAGGCTAGAACCCATGTGCAAGCGCTTTACCAACAGAGTCATCTCTCCAGCCCCATGGCTGGTTTGAAGGTGGTAACTTGAGGAACCTCGTGATGTGGGGTCAAAATTTCATAGGTTCAGGATGCTTAAATGTCTGGTTTCTGGGGATTCCTAGTTCCCATGTAAGGTTTATGATCTACACCAGTCTCCCAGAATCCTGTGAGAAAGCAGATTCTGGCTCTAAGATGGAGCCTGGTCTAGCCAGCCCCATGACAGCTGAGTTAAGATCGATGTCTAGCCATGGCTGTGGTTCAGTCAGTCAGGAGGGTCTTGCCGGCTGAACGCAGAGCCTTACCCTTCTGCTGTTGCCTGGACAGAGGCTCCTCTGTACCTCTCAGGGATGACATCAGGGTCAGGCCCGTGAACAGCTCCTCAGGGCACAGACAGGGCCACATGGAATCTATAGTGAACCAGATTCTGCTGGGTCAGGCACTGTCCCTTAGGAGACAGGTGATAGAGCCTCCCACCTATTGTCAGTAAAACACTACTTCCTCCAAAGTGCCTTCCTGATCTGTTAAAAACCCATAATGTCCAGAGCTTCTCTCTGCCCTTGTTTCTTTCCCTTTTATTCCCAATGATACCATCTGTCATCTGCCCCTGCTGTTCCTTTCTGGGTACGGGGGGGGGGGGGTTGGTGCCTACCAGCATCATAAGTGCCACGCAGGCAGGCTGGCTCTGGTTAAGTGTACGGGTGGCTGGCTCTCCTGGGGCCTCACTTTCTGGTCTATAAGATTGGTACATGAGGCTAAGGAGACAGCATAGCCTGAGTTCACTGTCTAGCAATCAAGTGTGGTGGCACACACTCGAAATTCCAGCATTGAGGGGCAGAGGCAGATTCCTGGGGCTCACTAGCCAGCCAGCCAGCCAGCAGCCTAGCCTACTTGGGGTGTTCCAGGCCAATGAGTGATTGTGACTAGTGCAGAGTCCCTGAGGAGTGATACCTAAGGTTCTCCTATGCAGGCATGTACACGCCTGTGCACCACACACATAAACACACACACACACACTCTCTCTCTCTGATAGGCTTATGATGATTTATCATGGAGCAGTTATGGAGATAATGATGGTGGTTGCATGGATCCCTAAGGCCAGGGCCCCATGCCTCTCTGTAGGTGGCATGCATGGGTACATGGATAAATCTGGATTTGCATGGCTCTTGGCAGTGTGAAGGGAGGGGACTCAATTAATCCCCCCCTTGTGGGATACTAGTTGAAGATGTGTTACATTTGTTTATGCTGTGGAATATTTGTTCAATGATGCAAAGATGTATTGCATTCTTTTATGTTGCATTTGTTTAACTCTGTAAAGCAGTGTTACTTTGTCTATCCAAAACACCTGATAAAAAGCTGAATAGCCAGTAGCTAGGCAGGAGAGAAAAATAGGCAGAGCTGTCGGGCAGAGAATAAATGGGAGCAGAGGAAGGATCAAGAGAAGAAGAAGAGGACACCAGAGGCCAGCCACCCAGCCATAAAACAAGCCATGGCATAAGAAGGAAAGAAAGGAACATAGAATAGAGAAAGGTAAAAGCCCAGATGCAAAAGGTAGACAGGATAATTTAAGTTATGAAAAGGTAGCTTGAAACAAGCCAAGCTAAGGCCAGGCATTCATAAGCAAGAATAAGACTCCATGTATTTATTTGAGAGCTGGGTGGTGGGCATTAAAAAACCAAACCAAACCAAACAAACAAGCCAAAAGCCAAACCCAACGGTACTCACCTGTCGAGGTGGAAGGCAGCAATCTCTGCATTGTGCCTCTCATAGTCAGAGAAATAAAAAAAGTCGGGGGGCGTCTCCTGCTCCCTTGTCTGCCTGTAGAACACAGAGACAAACAAGCTGAGATGTGGGTGCAAATGGAACCCAAGCTGACACATATTTCCAGATGTTAACCAGCTAACCAGCTGTCAGAGGCTCATCATCAAGGGTTAAATGAAAGGGCCAGTGAGATGGCTCAGTGGATAAAGGTACTTGCTATCAAAGCTGAAGATCTGAATTCAACCCCAGGACCCATATGACAGGAGAAAACCAACGCCTAAAAATTGTCCTCTGACCTCCACATGTGCTGTGACATATATACTGTCCCCCCAATAAATAAATTATAGGCAGTGGGGGGGGATGGCTCAATGACTACATCACATGCTTTGGGTGCATGAGGACCTGAGTTTGATCATCAGGACCCACATTTAAACAACCAGTTCTGGGGAGGCAGACAGGAGGATCCCTGGGGCTCGATGGCTAGTCAGCCTAGACTACTTGGTGAGTTACTGGCCAGAGAGGGATTAAAAAAAAGCAAGGTTGGCCAGGTGTGGTAGCACATGCTTTTAACCCCAGCACCCAGGAGGCTGAGGCAGGCAGATCTCCCTGAGTTTCAGGAAGGGCTCATTGGGGAGGGCAGAATCTGCTCGTGAGGAAGGTGAAGCTTCACTTGGACCACACTCATGCCTTTGATGTCTGGTCAGGGTATCTGAAATGTTTGAAAGAGTATGTTGGCGATGTCTAGCCCTCAAGCAGATAACCTGGTGTCACTCACATCCACAGCTACATAAAAGCCCCCTACCTCACCAGAGACATCTTCAGAAGCCTTGGAGCAAGCCTCTCAAACTAAGGAACTTCTTGTATAAAAGGGCATGAGGTCTTGACTCTCCTTGGACTCATCCTGAGCTCTTGGAACTGTGGGAGACCAGCTGAGGAGAGCAGGGAGCTTGCTGGATGGACATGGGAACCCTTAGGTCTCCACAAGGCCCTTCCTCAGTCAGGAAATCTAAAGGCCAGTTAGTACTGGCCAGTGGCTCCCATGCACCCACTCTGAACCCACAGACATGTGACTGGTCAGTCAGCTTGGGTCTTAGCCCCATGCCTGGCTCTCTCTCTCTCTCTCTCTCTCTCTCTCTCTCTCTCTCTCTCTCTCTGTGTGTGTGTGTGTGTGTGTGTGTGTCTGTCTGTCTGTCTGTCTGTGTCTCTGTCTCTTTGTGCATGCACACATACTACTGGCTTAGCCAACTTCTCGGGGCACTAACACAAATCCTTGGAGAGTTGGATCTTGACCCTCCCTGTCTGCTTGCCAGTCAAAGACACGAAGCCAGGTGGCTTTGAAAGGTTAGTGTCATTCCACAAGAATCAAAGGTCTCCCCACTGATGTAATTTGACCTTAATGCTGTGGAATTGTTAGTCTGTCATTGCCCAGGGTCCTGTCTGAAGCAATGCTTCTAGCATGAAACCTGCTCTGCCCCCTGCTTCCACCTCAGGTCAGACAGGTGGGAATGCAGCCTGAAGGAAGGCTCACCTCTGAGGACAGATCTATCAACAGCCATGCTGTTTTCCTTTCCAGGTGTGCAAATGAGGGCCTGGAGCTCACCTTTGCCCAGATGCTCCCACAAAAGAGCTACACACACCTCCCAGTCTAGTTTCTCCTCTATAGATTCACAGCTGAATTTGCTGGGCCCTTCCAGTCCTGAGCCCCACAGTCAGGTGAGGCTACTGTCCCACACATTGGTGAGTGATGAGATTTATACACAAGGTGTGTACAAGGCTTCAGGTAGCAGGCAGTAGCCTTCCAGATGTCAGTGTGGGAAGCTGAGTGAGTGTGTATGTGTGTGCAGGGGGGGGCAGTGTGGAGCCCATAACTCTGTGGACACTACCTTGACAGGCTGATGACTGAAAATGGCAGTGACCTCACGCATGTGTGTACATGAAAACTGGAGGAATACCCTGGGTGTTGTTTCTCAGGAGCTGTCCACCTGTTTGACTTTCGCTATTGTTTGTTTGGTCCATGCCAAATGTGTCAGTGACCACTGAGGACAGGCCTCATGAGTTGCAGGGGCCCCTGGGACCAGGAAGAATTGAGCCAGGCAGTGGCTGCTGAGGGTCTGTGCAGAGCTAAGATGGTTAACTTCTGACCACTCGCTACAGGCATGCATATGCAGACACATGAGTGCCGTCACATACAAACACAGGAATTCCATGTGTATTAACGCTGTGCACATGTGTGTGTCACACAGACACACTTACAGGCTGTTGGAGACTTTGGAAGGAAAGTGTTAAACTCCTCTGATGTTTTCCAGGTCCATCTGTGAAGGGGGCCTTGAATAGGCAGCCTGACTTCTCCTACCCGCCTGAAGAGCCTCAAAGCAGGGAGGCGAGGATGGATGGGGGTGGGGCAGGGGAAACAGACGGGACTTGAACACAGCAGCAACTTTCTTCCTGGAGTGCATGGAGTGCATGGGTCCTGTCATGAATTGGCTTAATTGGTACAGTGTTTGTCCTGGGTTCTATCCCAGTGCCGCATAGACCAGGCATGACGGTGCACACCTGTGGTTCAAGCACTTGGGAAGTGGAGGCTGGAGGAACAGAAGTTCAAGGTCAGCCTGGGCTACTCTCGAGATCCTGTCTTAAGTTAAAAAAAAAAGGGGGGGGGAGGAAAACCACTAAACCTGCACAGCCACTTCTGCTGACACGAGCCCTCTTTCTTCCCACCCCTGAATGTCCCGGGAGGACAGCCGAGACCCCACCCCCACGCTGGCCTTAGCCTGTGCTGTGCCCTCTTTCCCTTCTGGGAAGCTTGACTTGGCTGTCTCCTCTGCGTGACCTACCCTGATGGGGGTGGGGGCTCCCTCCCAGGAGCACTTGGCAGGGTGACACTGGAGGGCATTGTTAGCCGGGCTCTGGGGATGAGAGTGTTCCCTCCTCAGGACCCTGAGTACAGCCAAAGGCTTGCCTCAGAATTGCTGTCTGAGGACAAAGAACAAGGGCCAGCTGACCATCACCCTGCAGTCACCTCCACTCACTGACCTGAGGATGACCAGGCAATGGACCAGCCCCTCCTGCCCACAATCTAAGCCCCTCTCTCCCTCCCCCTGCCTGCTCCTTTGAGGTGACATTTCTCAGATCCAAGTGGCTTAGAGCCCCGTGGCTCTCTGGAAGGGCCTCTGGTGTGACCTGATTCCTGGTTCCGCATCCTTGGGTTCCGATGCACACCTTCTACCCTCCACAGAAGCTGGCTGATGTCCCAGACCCTCAGCAACCCCCACCCCCATACACATCACAGCCTGCAGGTGTCCCTGACTCCTAGGTACCTCTTTACCTGGAATAATCCAAGGGTTCATAAAAGTAAACGGTGTGTTCTATTCAGAGGAGCACCTCTGTTGTTCTGAATGCCTCTTGGGCACTCTATGTCCGTTCTGACCTGGGACTCCTGGCAGTCTGTTCTTTCTTCCTTTCCAGAAGGCTCAAATGCTGCCCTGTGGAACCTTGTCCCATGAGGAGGGGCAGGAACAGGGCTTGCCTTCAGGCCTCGTTTTTCCGGCTGCACAATAGCAGAGAGTCTAAGAAGAGCCCAGAGTGGTCTCCAGGTGGAGGTGAGGTAAAGGGAGGAAGTGTCCTCAGATGCCCCCCAAATGGCCCCAAGCCACCAGCCATCCTCTGGCTCTCATTGTGCTCCACCTGGAGGCAGTTTATTCCAGACTCCCCCAAGTCTAGGATGCAGGTGGGCTGCAGTTCCCCCCGGGTCTCTCAGAGAACTCTGGTGATATGACTATGGCTTTGGATAGCTTCCACAACTTAGGGGCCAGTTTCTCTTAAAGCCAGGTTCTGAGGCTACCAGCACCCAAACTGTCCCCGAGTATGTGTGTAGAGGGGTCTGTTACAAACGAGGAACCCCACGCATCACTTCTGACCTGCTGGCCCAGAGTCCTAGTGCTGGGGCCCAGGAAGCTGCATTTTAGTAAGTTTTTATGATTTCATGCAACCAAAGTCAGGGCCACTGCTGTGGGCAATCCACAGAGGCTCTGGCCCCTGTAGGTTGGCCCCCTTATCATCCATAATGGATACTGACTTGCCTGTACCCAGCTCTCCCAGGGCACACTGATAATCTCCAACAACACACAGAAGCTGTCCTCTCGCTCCTAATTCTCCAAGAGACAACTCCGGAGCTGCCACCCAACAGATTGACTCCAGTTGCCCCCACACAACAGGTCCCTTAGACATAGGGACCCTCCTCCATTTAGCAGTCTTGTCCTTGAGGCTGGGTGGTGGCCCATGACTATTATTCCAGCACTGGGAAAGCTGAGGCAGGGGTATCACATGTTTAAAGCCTATTTCCTACAGAGTGAGTTCAAAACCAGCCTGGGCAACTTAAGATGACCCTGTCTCAAAAGACAATATAATACTGTAATCATGGTAACTTACGCTGGCCACCATGTGTACGGCTGACCTGCAACACAGCAAACAGGCCGTGGCCCGTGGGAAGCAAGGGCAATTGCACTGGGATCTAGCTATGCTGAGGTTACACTTGGCCATAAGGCCTCTAGACTCTACTTCTCCCCATTACCCAAGGCCAGCTCTAACCTGAACCCTCCAGAGGTTTCTGGAACCTGCCACAGACTCTACCCTACTCCACAGCATGGTGTTCCTGGGAACCGTTTCCCGCCCTTCTGAGGCCTTGACCCTAAAGCAGGGCCGATCTGTGTTGAGGAGGCCTTAGAACTCAGGTTCTGGAGGTCTGTAGGACAGCTTCCTAGTGGATGTAGGTTCAGGAGAGGCAAGAATGGAAGAAGCTGGGTCTTCTGGAAGATGCTGATAAAGGACCACTGTGTCAGGTCTGCAGTGAGATCAGGTGGGAAGTGAGGACCTTCCTTAGGGGACACTTGAAAAGTGCCAAGAACACAAACTTCAGCCTGGCATCTAGCAGAGTTCCTGGTGGGCAGCTGGGTTTCAGAACTATATGCTGCCAGAGACAAGCCCAGGTCACTAACAGTGATACACAGAGGCATCTCTGGAGTTACTACAGCCAGTGTTGCTACAAGACCTGGATGTTG